CCAGAGTTTTTGAAAATAGGTATAACAGTTGCTGCCTTCCAGCATGCCGGAAAACAAGACTCCAATAAGCACTTGCTAAATAATTTTAAGAGTAGAGACGACAGCACTAGAGAACACTTCTTCAGCCTGTGAATGTTATGAGCTATTTTTGCATACATATAATGAATCTTGTCGGTTGTTTATTCCTATTTTGAATAATAAAAAAAAAGAATAGTCAACCCTGGTTGGATGCAAAAGTTAAAAAAGCAATAAAGATTAAACATTGTATGTTTTATTCAAATTTGCATCGGCAAAGTCAAGAATCTTGAAAGGCTTTTAACAAAATGTGTGCTAATGTTAAAAAGCAAATCAAAAGATCAACTCGAGAATACGAAACGGATTTAGTAAAGAGAGCAAAGCTTGCACCAAAACTTTTATTCTCATACGTAAATAGAAAACAAAACATTAAAACGCAAATTAGAGCAATCAAGAACAAAAAAGATCAAGTTACAACTGAGATATCAGACATTTCAGATATATTAAATAAGCAATTTCAGTCAGTCTTTGTTAATGATAATGACCAACCAATACCCGAGTTCTTGCAAAGATGTGAAAACCAGTGCGATTCCAGTAAGTTATCTAATATGATTACCTATGAAAAAATTCTCAAAATGTTAGAAGGTATGGATGAGGCAAAAGCGATGGGCTTTGATGGAGTTAGTCCGTTTGTTGCAGAAGCATGCTGCAGAAGCTTTTGTGGACCCAATTGTTCATATTTTCAAATTAAGCTTTGACACTGGATGTGTCCCTTACCACTGGTCTGTTGCAAATATATCACCAATTTACAAAGAGGGGATCAAAACTTGAACCAGAAAACTACAGACCAGTATCCCTAACATCTGTTAATTGTAAAATGTTCGAAAAGCTCATTCGGGACACAATTCTGCAACATTTAGTTTCAAATAGACTTATATGTGAGGAGCAAACTGGTTTTGTTCCAAACAAATCATGCACAACAAATCTTATTGAGACAATTGACACAATTACATTTGAAACTGCAAAAGGTAAACCGTTATGCGTCATATATCTTGACTTCGCAAAGGCTTTTGATAAAGTAGAACACAAAAGATTATTGACAAAGATTAAAGCGTATGGTATAACTGGTAAAATATATATCTGGATTGAAAGTTTTCTTGCAAATAGGAAACAAAGAGTTGCTATTAGTAATACAGTTTCAGAATGGGTATCAGTCACCAGTGGCGTGCCTCAGGGTTCCGTTTTGGGTCCAATGTTGTTTCTACTATTCATAAATGACCTCCCAGAAGTTGTGCTAAACACATTTAAAATGTATGCTGATGATAGCAAAATAATAGCCATAGAAGATTCCATTGGTAAACAAGCGGAAATACAAACCGACCTTGACAATGTTGTGAAATGGTGCAACAATTGGGGTATGGAACTAAACTGCAAAAAATGTAAGGTGATGAGATTCGGCAATCAGAAAGTTTTTTGAGGTATTGATAAAACATACACAATGAATATAAATGGAATGATTTATGACCTCTCAAACAGTGTATTAGAAAGAGATCTAGGTGTCTTTGTACAACCGGATATGAGGTGGAAGCATCAAACGTAAGTATTTGTTAACAAAGCTTCAAAAATACTGGGGTTATTGAAAAATGCCTTTGAAAGTAAAGATTGTTATATGTGGAAAATTTTGTGTACTACTTATGTGCAACCTCATCTTGAATTTGCGGCTCCAGCGTGGAGTCCTCCGAATGTGGCCGAAATCTCAAAGCTTGAAAGAGTTCAACATAGGGCTACAAAAATACCATACTCAAACCGAATGCTAAGTTATGAGAAATGGCTAGTTTAAATGGATTTAATTAATTCAAATCTCAGAAGAAAACGAGGAGACCTTATTCATTTATATAAGATATTAAACAATCTAGAATTTGTCAATCTTAATGTCAAACCAGTCTATAAGTCAAGCATTAAATTAGATGGCCCATGTTCTTCCATTAGAGGTCTCAAACATAAAATTAGAATGCAGTGTTTTACTCCTCGCGAAATAAATGACTTTCATGCATCAGTTAGCTCCAGAATCCATTTCTTCACAAACAGAGTTTGCCAAATTTGGAACAAACTTCCGGAAAAAGTTGCAGATTCCGAGAATTTGAATAGTTTTAAAGCAATTTTAGACGAATGGCTTAAGAAAAATAAGAAAATATTAATTTAAAAGTAAAAGAAAAAAAAAAAAAGTACTGGGCTGCTATAGCTGAACGTTACAACGTCTCAGCTTGTGGATAAGATCCACGCAGTTTACCACTAACTAACTAATTTATATATATATATATATATATATATATATATATATATATATATATATATATATAATGTTTCTAGTTTCCACTCACAATAGAAGCTCGAGCCAATAACTACTCAGTCACAAACTCAGCCTGCCTATGAACATGGAAACCAATAATCTTTAAAGAATTTTTTTATTTATATTATTTTTACATTTACATTTATTATTTTTAGGAATGTTAAGTTAAAAGCAAAGTCTTGTTTGCTGCAAAAATTATAATTAAAAGTATTGCAAATAAATATATATTTTATATATACATAATATATATTACATATTTATGGCAGGGTACTTCATCTTGCATAACAACTATATATTGCATATATAGCTAATTGAAAAATTTATTAAGTTTATTATAACTTAGTTGAAATATATTTTCTTGAACACATTTATAAGGAAATTTTTTTATTCTAATTCGTCTGGCTTTTGATGAAATAGCATCATGTATATATATAGCACACCTAGATCGGTAATCTGACATCATACTGAAATGGGGGTTACAGAGCTTTATTGACTGATACAGGGAGAAGAAATATAAACTGATATAGGAAAAAACATGGAGCTCCATTAACTGATGCTTAGGCTTGGGCAGTGATAAGTTTTCCTTTTTCTTTTTGCAAAAAAAAGCTGTATGGATTTAAGTCACCAAAAAAATCAGTTAATGTATATATGCACTAAAGTGTATATCACTTTTTTGGATGGTAACTTATGTAAAATAAGTCATCTAAATATATGTAAAAAATGTCATCTAAATGTTAAAACCATTACTTGCTGAAGTACATTAGATATTTGGAAGTAATTTTAAGAGATTAAAAATATCATTATAGGATTATTAAATTTATATTTCTAAAAATATTTTTAAATATCTATATTATAAATATTTTTAAATAATATTTCAATAAATAATATACGTTCATAAAAAATAATTAAAATTCTTTAATTGTTTAAAATGTTAAAGGATTATTTGATTACTTTGTAGTTTTTAAAAAGTTATTTTTGTATCTAGTTTTGGAAATTATTTCTTACTTTTTAGTTAACAAGTAGCAATACTCATTTGAGAAGTTACCTACAGTTTTTGCTAGGGTTCTTATAGCAATTATTCTTTTCATCCTTTTGCTCTTCACTACCGATCAGTTTGTCAGAACTTTACTACCTTAGCTAAGTTTTGAATCTTACCCGGTGGGAAATGAGCTAGCAACTAGCGAGCGACTAGCTAGCTTTATATCGATTTTTTAGCAATTTTTTTTCCTATTTTATTATTTCCTAATGTCTTTAACATCTTTAAAAATTTGATTTTAAGTCTTGAATCTATTATAATTATGAGAATAATTGAACTTTAAACATTGCGATTTTGTAGCAATGTGTCGCTGGCTGTCCTCTTAGCCAAATGTCTGTTTTTATCTTTATAAATATCGATAGCTTTTCGCTAACTTAAAAAAGCTAGCGATTCTCGTGGCCAAATTGCTGTCTTTATCGTTACGATTATAGCTAACTATTCGCAAGCCGATTTCCCTCCGGGTTGTCTTTTTCTTTACTTTTTTTTTTACTGCCTTTCTGTCTCTGATCAGAAAAATCAAATGAATAAATCTGTCTCTGACCAGAAAAATGAATAAATTCTGTCTCTGACCAGAAAAATCAAATGAATAAATCTGTTACAAATATAAGTTTGATTTGTGAGTCCTTTAACATGAAATCATAAAAAATGTGTTTTTTGTTTTTGTTTTAATAAGATCTTTTTTGAAGGATACCAATCAAATTTTCTTTTTCTTTTTTGCAAGTATGTACAATAAAAATTTTTCTGTTATAATTTTTCACAATTATATCCCAAGCAAATCTATTCTTAAAATTATAGTCAAAAAGTTTAGCAAATTTTTCCATAAATCTATCTCTAGGTAATATGTTTACAGTTTTTACTAACATTTACAGCAAACAACACAAAACAAAATGTAATATTTAAAAAGTTTTTTTATTGCATTTTATGGTTTTTATGTGTCAGTTGTAACATATTATGGTTTTTATGCGCCAGTTGTAACATGTTATGGTTTTTATGCGCCAGTTGTAACATGTTATGGTTTTTATGCGCCAGTTGTAACATGTTATGGTTTTTACGCGCCAGTTGTAACATGTTATGGTTTTTATGCGCCAGTTGTAACATGTTATGGTTTTTATGCGCCAGTTGTAACATGTTATGGTTTTTATGCGCTAGTTGTAACAGTAAAATGTTTCAGTAATAAATAAGTAGTATTTCTAATATTTCTAATTCCATTATGCTTTTCACAACAACACTAATATTTTTTATATTTTATTTATACAGATTATAATTTAAATGTAACAATGTAAAATATAATTTAAAAGTTAGGTATTAAGTAAACAAAGTTCATTTATTTTTACAAAGAGGTGACAAGAAACTAACTGAATAACTCTTGACAAGAAACTAACAAACTGAGCATTGCTTTTCAAAGTAGATTTATTTGGATTAGAAACCTTTTTTTTTGTCTAATAATTAAATATAAAATTATTTTTAACATATTATATATAGAAGTTATGTATAATTTTTATATAATAGTAAATATTTCAAATATTTATTATGTAAGCAAAAAACTTTATCAATACTATTTTTTTTAATGTATTTTTTAATGATTTTTTTATTTTTTAGGAAAACCTTTTCATGAAGCCAAAGGTGAAGTGAAATACGCTGCATCGTTTCTTGAATGGTTTTCTGAAGAAGCTAAACGAATTAATGGTGAAGTTCTTCCAAATATCGAGCCTCATCTAAGGCGTTTTGTGCTAAAGCAACCAGTTGGTGTGTGTGGCATGATAACACCTTGGAATTTTCCACTTGCAATGATAACACGTAAAGTTGCTCCCGCCCTTGCAGCAGGATGCACAACAGTTATAAAACCATCTGAAGAGACACCACTGTCAGCTCTTGCATTTGCACAACTTGTTGATGAGGTTCAGGTACCACAAGGTGTTGTTAATGTTATAACATGTTCGAGAAATAATACTGAATTAGCTGGACTTTTACTTTGCACGAGTCCTCTTGTTAGAAATATCTCATTTACAGGATCTACTAAAGTTGGAAAATGGTTGTTAGAGAAGTCTGCTTCTACTGTTAAAAAGGTTTCTTTGGAATTAGGAGGAAATGCACCTTTCATAGTTTTTGATTCTGCAGATATAAAGCTTGCTGCAGATAGAGCTGTTAAAGCCCGTTTTCGAAATGCAGGGCAAACTTGCATTTGCGCCGAAAGGATTCTAGTTCAAGAGAATGTTTATGAGTCCTTTATAGATGAGTTCAAAAAAATAACTATGGCATTAAGAGTACGAGATCCTATGAGTTCTGAATGTGATATAAGCTCTTTAATTAATGAGCAAGCTCTTGCTAAAGTTGAAGACCATGTTAACGACGCTTTGCTGAACGGGGGTAAAATAGTATGCGGTGGAAAAAAACTATCTTCTAATGGTCCATTGTTCTACGAACCAACAATAATTAGAGATTGCACAACTAATATGAAATGTATAGCTGAAGAAACGTTTGGACCAGTGGCACCTGTGATAAAGTTTAAAACTGAAGAAGAAGCGCTTCTTCTTGCAAACAGCCGGAATTCAGGGTTATCTGGATACATTTTTACTAACAATACAAGTCAATCGTGGAGAGTAGCAGAAAGATTAGAAGTAGGCATGGTTGGTGTTAACGAAAGCGCTATCACAAACGAAATGGTTCCTTTTGGAGGAATAAAGGAGTCTGGTCTCGGTAGGGAAGGATCTTCGCACGGTATCGAAGAGTATATAGAACTAAAACTTGTTTGCATAGGAGCTTTGGAAAATAAATAAAAATTTAATTATTTTTTCATTTTAAATTATCTTGAACAATTTTTTTATTGTGGGTATATTTTCTTATGTTTGACATGTTTTATACATATACATTTTATACATTGCATTGTTTATTGTAATAAAATAGCAGTTGCTTATAGTAATTAACAAATGTTTATTTTTCTGTGTTAGAAAGTTTTTATATTATTGGTTGTGGCTTTATTCTTTGATTTATATGATCAACTATAACAATTGTGTTTTGTAATGATTAATTTCATAATTTTAAAGGAATATTCTGTTCTTGTAATGATTAATTGCGTAATTTTTAGGAAACATTCTGTTTGGATCCGAGAATTGTTAGTTATTAGTATATATTTAAAAGATTTAAAATCAAAAAAATCTTTTGACCCTTTTTTTTTCCAACTTGAGTTTTTTTTTTTTCCTAGTTATTCAATGATTAGTAAGAGTTTAAATATTATATGCATATTGTTCACTTTGAGTTTCCTGAAATAATAAGTATTTTGTACAAGTATGCACGGTAATGCCACATTAGCCATCAACACATAATCCAATCTGTTTAAGTAGAACTACAAAACTACAAACACAAAATTGGTGGAGTATCATAATTATATATATATATATATATATATATATATATATATATATATATATATATATATATATATATATATATATATATATATATATATATATATATATGTATATATATATATATATATATATATATATATATATATATATATATATATATATATATATATATATATATATATATATATATATATATATAAATATATATATATATATTGACCCTTTATTTTCAAACTTGAGTTTTTCAGTTTTTTTCCTAGTTATGAAATGATTACTTTTTAGCCCTTGGATAAAATGGGTAAAGGATCCTAAATTGAGAAAAAACTCCGATGTTTTGTTATACACCGTAACAAATATATTCTGGTACAACCCTGTTATAACAACTTCCCGTTATTTTATCAATTTATTGTTAATCAAAAAAATATTTAAAAGTATCGTTATGTTATCTAATTTAAAATGCAAATCGATTTGTAATTTAAATTAATAGAAATAATATTTCTAGCTATGAAAGTGTATAGAGAAATATTTATCGAAAAATTTAAAAAAGGAAAGTCTCGTGGGAACATTTTTAGAGCCCTGAAAAGTGAAAGAGTCATCAGAAATATGGTTTATCATACTATTGAACGCTTCCAAGAAACGGGTACTACTCTTGACCGACCAAGATTGAGACGCAAAAGTACTCTAGCAGCCATCAAAGTAATCAGAGAACGAATTCGACAAAATTCTGCTCGATCTGCCAGGAAAGTAGTAAAGGTTCTCAGAATCAACCGTGAAACAATGCGAATTATTTTTAAAAAGGATTTGAAACTGAAGCCTTTCGTAAAGTTTATGGAGTTTCCAAATTATCTAAACGTAAACGCGTCGAAAGAGCAAAAAACATATTGGCCTGGTACGGAGGTGATGAAATTATATTTTCTGATTAAAAAACTTATCGTTTTGCAACTATCTCACAACTCTCAAAATGACAGAAACTGGTTTGTTTTAATTGAGGACATCCCAGACGACAAAAGACATGTTCCAAGATCCCAAAACGCAGCCTCTGTAATGGTTTAGGATGCAATCTGACCAAGAGGTAAATTGCCCTTGATTTTCATCATAAAAGGTTTAAAAATTAACGCAAAATACTATGTGGAAGAAGTGATAAAGAAAAAAGTGCTTCCGAACACCAAAAAAGTGTATGGAGAAGATTACCACTGGTTCCAACAAGATGGAGCCCCTTCTTAAACGGCTAACATTACTCAGGCTTGGTGCAAGAAAACTTTGAGCACGGTGCGTTGTCTGTGCGTGCCGTATGCAATGATTTTGAAAGAAGATTGAAAATGGTCATTAAGGTTAAGGGGGATGTTGTTGCAAAATATTTGCTATAATTTATTAAGTATTATGTCAACTTTTAAATTCTAAATACAGTTTTTTGAAATATTGTTTTAAAAAAAAGATGTACGTATTTATATATATATATATATATATATATATATATATATATATATATATATATATATATATATATATATATATATATATATATATATATGTATATATATATATATATATATATGTATATATGTATATATATATATATGTATATATATATATATATATATATATATATATATATATATATATATATATATATATATATATATACATATATATATATATATATATATATATATATATATATATATATATATATATATATATATATATATATATATATATATATATGTATATATATATATATATATATGTATACATATACATATATATATATATATATATATATATATATATATATATATATATATATATATATATATATATATATTAATATATTTTTCAGTTAATAATTCATTATAAATTTATAAAATTTGTGTTTTTTTAATCATTATTCTTTCACAAACAGGTTTTATCACATGAATGGCTTGACTTCAGTGGACTAGTTATTTAATAATAAATATCTTGAATTCTGTGGACTAATTATCTAATAAATGGCTCGAATTCTGTGAACGTCTAGTTCAAATTTCAAAATTGCTTTAGATTTCACACTAGTTGCTTCATATTCTTTTAAATGATTGGTGAAAAGTCTTGATTTTTTTGACTTTTTAGTTGTTGATTGATTTTGATTCAGTGATTCTTGAATTTCGGCAAAATAAGATGTTGATTGTGATGGTTCTCTATAATTGCCTTGAGCGCGATTATCTAGTTTTGGTCGAAGGACTACTTTTTTTTTATAAGCATAACGCTTATAAGCATATGGAGGCTCAGAATTGGAAAAAAAATAAGCAAATGTAAGCATATTCCTGAGCCTCGATAAACCATTCTCTTAATGTGCAGTTTATTTAATACCATATTCAAAATGTTTATTTGATTTCTAAGTCTTATTTTCAGATACTAATAAAAATAATAATAATAATGTCAAAGATAATTAAGAGAAAGCTGCAGCGTTTGGTTTCACAAAAAATGTTATGCACATTGGAGAAATGAGTGCAAACCGATTGCCTTTAGAAGCTGCTGAAACTAGTGTTGAATGGGAACATTGCAAAAAATTATTTAAAAGCCAACAAGAACTAGCTTTTCATGTTAAAGTTAATCATGGAATAAGCAAACAAGATTGTAAACATTCACTATCACAAGTTCTTCAAAGTAACGAAGAACTATCACTCTAGCAGTAAAAGATGTGCTCAATAACATTTTCAACAAAGTTGTTAGTGCAATGAAAAAAAGTGGAGTTTAACAAATTAGCTGGTAAGAAACGCCGCCAATATATTCCATAGAATGATGATAAGAATAAACGATTCAGAAGCTAAAAGGTCATCAAACACTATACAACAGAGTATTTATAGCGTTTTTAACTAAAATAGCTTTGTTCATATTTTTTTGACTACCCTAGTGGGCACGAGTCGTTCGGGGACGTTCGGGGTGTAACACAAGTTTTTGGTGTAACACAAAGTCAGATTTTGCGATGGCTTAAAAAAAAAGAAACTGTTATTAAAGATGCCGAATCATCCTATCGCAAATTGTTTCTGAATTGAAGACGTTCCACAAAATATCTTGAACTATACAAAGTTATTTACAAAGAATTTTTACAAGCAATCGAAATAAATGTTAACTTTTCCTGACTTTGGAGTAAAGCTAGAAATATTCAATTAAACGTTGATCCAAAAGTGGAAATAAAACATCATGTTATAGTTCGATTTTTACAAAAAAAAAAAGAATTAAAATTGAAACAAAAAAATAAAAGGAAACATAAGAAAAAAATGGAACCGTTGCATGCCATTTCTGTAATTATCAGAACTCTTTCTAAAGATCCAAGTTATAATAAAAAATGGGGACAGTACCAACCTGGACAACGGCTCAATGTTGAACAGACCCCATTTCCCTTTGTTGTTCCTGGTAAGACATATAGTACATAGTACATGGATCTCACAACCGGGCTAAAGTTTGGAAAAAAGTCAATGTTTCCTTCAAATTATGTTTCGGGCAGAAGAAGAGCAACCAAGGCTAGCCATCATTTTTAGAGGTCAAGAAAAACGCATTTCAAAAAACGAAAAGTTAGCATAACACAAAGTTATTAACCTTTACTTACAACAAAATGCTTGGTTAGACCAAAACGTTTATAAACACTTCTTCCTTTGTCAAAGAACAAAAGTTTGATAAGTTTGTACTTTTGCTGAACAATTTAAAGGGACAGATAAAAAAGAATTTTAAAGATTATGAGGCTGCTGCTAAAGGACTTTTCTGGTACGGTCTACCAAGTGGCACTAACCTTGGGCAACCAGTTGACGCAGGATATGCTGCCACTCTGGAAAGACTTATTGCCATTAAACATCAAAAATGGCTTGATAGAGATAATCATTCTGATAGATGGTTCAGTAATGAAATGCACTGAACAATTACTGCAAAAAGAGAGACGAATTTTGATTACACATTGGGCAGGGGAAAAATGGAAAGCTTTAAACACTTCAAAGTATGACAAGCAAAAGAAAAAATGTTGGAAAATGGCTGGATGTTTGATGACTTCTGATGGCTCAGAACATTTGCTTGTTAAACCAGAGGGCCTTGATAGTTACAAAGTGCCCCCACCATCCATCATTGATCCTGGCAGTGATCAACCCATAGGAAATCAGAAGATATTCAACCGGTCGAGGTAGATGATGCTATAAATGAAGATGAGAACGAAATTCTTCCAGATTACACCTTTATAGGTACGAGAATAAATGCAAAGTTCATATCTTTGATTTCATTGATAACATTTCTATATAGTGTATATTTTTTAATTTAACTATTACACTACAACATTAATTCAGCTAAATTAAAAGCAAAGCAAATACAGAGCATAAGTCAACATTTTATTTTTCTTATACCCATTAACCTTTAGTAACGCGTACACTTTTAGAAAGTATTGAAATAAGCATATTTTATTAGTAATATGCTTAAGCTTAAGCATACCGTTGTGTTGAATTATAAATATTATAATTCAACACAAAACTGCTGCAACTTTTAATATAATGAAAGTGATAAAAAATAAATAAATAACAAACATTTAGTCTCACTAAGTTAGTCGGAGTCGCTAAACAAATTCGCAACTCCGACTCCAATAGTAAAACTTCTCGATATTGCACGGGTATGTACAAAATATTCAATTAACCTTTTATTCATATTAAACCTTCAAAAAACTTTTTATAAATTTTGCAAAAAAAAAATTTTTTTTAAATATCGCGTAATATTTTTTAAAGAGTTCA